TCTCAATTTTAGATATGTGTATTGCTCATTTCATTTTAGGGTTCAATCATGTTTATTTTTTGGAGGTTTTTTATTCTAATTTGATGGAAAAAGGCATGGATCTTGTAAGTTTATTTTGTATTTTGTGTTAAGAACATTCATGCTTTCCCAAATGAAACCTTAACTATTTTTACTTAATGTTACTCTTCGCCCTTCACCCACCACTTTCCTACATTTCAGACGACATTGTTTTGTTGCTCAAAATTATTAAAGAAGTTTGAGTTATTATCTATGTTTATACTAAGAAAATTTTCCCTTTTTTTATTAATTCATATTAAAAGTCAAGACAACGCTGACTTAATTTAAGTTTTAGTTGACTTTAGCTTAGGCTAGACCTGATCAAAGTCATGAAAGTTTATATTATAATTTTTTAAAGAAAAAGAAATTAAAAAAAAAAAAAAAAAAAAAGAGGAGAAATAAGAAATTTGTATAGAACATTTTTTGTGGATTCTGATTGTTGTAAACTCTTTTAATTATATTGGATTTAAGTGAATCGTTAGATTCCCATGGTATTTTGCTCTCTTTAATTAAAGAGGTTTTTTCACGTAAAAATTTTCTTGTGTTTCCTCATGAATTGAATGTTATTTTCAACATAATTTGCTTAAGGTTTTGTTTCTCATAGATTTATTCAAGTGGTAAAGTATTGTGTTGATACATTATTTTCTTTCAGATTATTGATATATACTATAGTATTTCCTTTGCTTAAGGTTTGTTGATTTTTTTTAAATTTTTACTAATTGTTTGACAAACAATGGTGGAGCCACGGAGGCCCCTCTCGGCAAAAATCTTGAGTTCGCCACTATATATATATATATATATATATATATATATATATATATATAATTAGAATGGGGTTTTACATTGAATGGGCAAGAAGGTGACTTTTGGGGGAGTTCTGATGGCAAAGTCTTGAAGAGTATTTATGCTTGAAAATATAAATAAAAAAATAAAAAAGAAGAATACCAATCACTTTCGCCTGCACAAAAAATAATATTAAGAAAAATAGGCTGTAAAGGGTTTGGTTCTTCATGATCCATGCACAGAAATTCCCAATAATTTGTGTCTATGTCAAGACATTGACACCTACAAATTTTAATCATATAAAAAATAATTAAAAGAGTCTTTACATGAACGACATTGTAGTTATCAGTATATATTTCTTCCTAGAAAGGACAAGCATACACAAATAAATAGAAAAGTTGCATGGAAACTTCATCAATACTCCTCCTATTTGACGAAATATGGAATACTTTTGATTGATTTCCCTAAATCTCTGCGGGCTAAAATTAAGCAGTAATTAGAGTTTCAATCAATCAACTTAATTCAAGTGACTGATTGAAACAATTACAAGGATCTTTTATATTCATTACTTTCTTTTTCTACATTTACAAAAATGTATAAATTGGCCAATTGTACAGGTTTACAATATATTGAATATACAAATTTATTCTCTCTCTCTCTTTTCTTGGGCATACTCTGACAGTGTCATTGTCTTGAACTGCTTCTCTTTGTCCTGCTTTGGTCTCTATCTCGATTCCTTACATGGTATCAGAGCACAACTAACAGCTTCCGCTTGCCTTTCAACTTAGCTTCTTTCTCTTTGTCCCTGCAAAAAAAAAAAAAAAAAAAAAAAAAAGACACCATTAACCTTCAGCATGGAACTCAACCCAAATACAACTACAACAAACCCAGATGGCCCAACTAATAGCCCAATCACCACAGACAACCCACACAGCTTCGGCCCAAACAACCAATCTCTACCTGCTACAACCCAAGCCCAAACAATTCAAAATAGACCTGACCTAGCCTGTTATCCATATGGAATGTCAGGTTACAACCCGGAATCTTTTACCCATTCAAGGCCTGACCCACCCTCTCTTGGAATGTCGGGTTACAACCTGGAATCTTTTACCTATTCAAGGCCTAACCCATCCTCTCTTAGAATACCAGGTTACAACCCGGATTATATTCTAACATCGGGTTCGGATCCAAATCCCTACCCGCATCCTTTTCGAATCATTTCAACCGTCGGGAACAATCGCCCTGAACCAGGCGATGTTCTCTTCTCACCGGTCTCTGATGGACCTGAATTAGTCCTCATCAAATAAACTATCACCGGATCTAACAACTAAACCTCCTAGTCTCGCGATTTCCGACGAGCCCTCATCACCAAAGACAAAGATCCATTTCTTGATGGGGCTTTTCAACCACCGCCGCAACCTTATCTTCAACGCCACTGGAATCATTACAATATGCTGGTCCGCTCATGGATCAGCAATTGCCTTTCGTCAGAAGTTGCAGCTGGGCTCCCACCAACAGAAATGGCTGCCAAAATCTGGGCTAACATCAAGGAGATGTATGGGAAGCTCGATCTTGCCAAAATTTTCACTCTCCGGCAGCGTCTCATCGAACTCAAGCAAGGAAACAACTTGGTCACCACTTATCTCAATTGGCTCTCTGCCGTTTGGATCAAGTTAGACGCTACCGAAGAAATGCTTGAGGGGCCACCAGAAACACTCCATCAATACCACAGAATGCGAGATCACAACCGATTGTCGCATTTTTTGCTCAGATTAAATGACTGTTTTCTCTCTTTCAGGACACAGGTACTGGCCGCGTCTCCACCACCCTCTCTCCGCCAGAGTTTTCAACTAGCGGTGCAAGATGAAAGCCAATGCTAGTTGAACTCCGACAGAACCTCACCGAATTCAATGGCGCTGGTAGGGTTGAGAGAAAATGGGGATTCATAGGGGCTAGGGCACAATGAAGGTGAAAAACCTTCTCTTATATATGATGAGATGAAGGGCTTAGATTCAATCTTGAGATCTGATGGCCAGAAACTCATCATGTTTTTAAACGCATCTCATGGTTCCAATTGTGCCACGTCATGCAACGGGTTAAACAGGTTAACTTCTTGGTCAACCGAGTCAACTGGATTTGGAAATGGGTCAAACAGGTATGGATCTGGGTCAAATAGGCCGAGAAATTCAAGATCCAATAAAAATCGATTATATTGTGATTATTGCAAAAGAAGAAATCATGATTGGGACCATTGTTGGAGATTACGTGGTCATCCAGATTCCAACAACAAGGAGAGAAATGGTCATTCTTCTTCTTTCCAAGTTTCTCTTGGAAATCAGTCAACACCTACTCTCAACCCGGAACAATATAATCAATTGCTCCAATTACTGAACAATGCCCCAACTGCTCCCGCCGCATCTTATGCAGGTACCTCTTACTATTTTAATGTACTCACAACTGATATGTGGATTATTGATTTAGGGGCTAGTGATTACATCATTTGTCACCCAAATTTTTTTACAAAAATTTCCACTACCTCATCCGCTTCCGTTCGTATGCCGAACAGAAATATCACCCCAGCTACTCATATAGGAACCGTCCACTTATTTGCCACTTTATCACTTAAAAATGTGTTATGTGTTTCTGCAGCTCATTTTAATCTTATCTCAGTATCCAAAATATGTGAAGACAATAGTTGCACTGTAGAGTTTTGTCCTAACACATGTAAATTTCATAACCCTTCGACTGGGAAACTGATGGGCTTGGGTAAAGTCAATAGAGGTCAATACTACAAGGCACCTACTGAGTCTCATAAAAGTTTTCCTACTTGTAATCAAAATAAAATTTCCCATTGTAATACGATGATTAATAAAAATTCATTTATTCTTCATCAACGATTAGGTCACAGTGCAACTATCCCTCACCCTCAGTGTCTTCTATGTCCATTGGCTAAACAAGCCTGCATTACCTTTCCACATAGCACGTCCACTACAACCCAACCTTTTGCTTTAATCCATCTTGATATTTGGGGGCCTTACCACACCCCAAATCATAATGGATCTAGATTTTTCCTCACCATTGTCGATGACTTTTCCCGGGGTATATGGACATTCCTCATGCAATCCAAATCTCAAATACTTACTCACATTAAGAATTTCATGTCCATGGTCACCATCCAGTTTTGTACTTCTGTACAAAGAGTTAGAACTGACAATGTTAGGGAGTTCTTTAATTATAATTGTTCATCTCTATTTTTATGTCTTGGCATTCTACATGAAAGCTCTTGCACATATACACCACAATAAAATAGGTTTGTCGAAAGAAAACACCGTCATCTGCTTGAAGTAGCTCGTGCCCTCAAACACCAAGCCCACACACCTGTTTCTTTTTGGGGCGATTGTGTGATCACAACCACATACCTAGTCAATCGCATGCCAACTAGAGTTCTTCATGGTAAGACTCCTTATGAGATACTGTTCAAGAAGCCACCAGCTCTTGACCACCTCTGAGTTTTTAGATGCCTTTGTTATGCTGCCACCCTTAGCTCCCATGACAAGTTTGGTAGTTGGGCCATTCGTTGTATATTTATGGGATATCCTATGCTTCAGAAAGGTTACAGGCTATATGATCCAGTTGAAAACAAGTTCCTGATCTTCAAAGATGTTGTGTTTCATGAAGACACTTTTCTGTCTGCCAGAGATACCATTACTACATCTATATCACCCAGACTGGTTCCTAAAGATACTATCCAACATGATCCTCTATTTTATATGATATCGAATCCTCCGGTTCCTCAACTTGACTACACTACCAATGATTCTGATACAGTAGCCACTAATGATCCTTAGGAAGAAACACCTATTCAAATTCCTACTCTTGGTTCCTCACTCAGATCCTCTATTCCAGCTGTTTCCACACCAGGATCCACTGTTCCAGTTCCAGATATTCCCACACGCTGCAGTACTCGGCCTCTAATTTGGATAGCAGATTATGAATAACCTATTGTTTCCAATTCCTCAGGTACATTATATCCTACCTCCAATTATGTGAGTTATGGACGTCTCTCTCCTGTACACAGAGCCTATATCAATCATATCTCCGCTGATCGAAAACCCACTAGTTACTCAAATGTTGTTCAATACTCTCACTAGCGTCAAACAATGACTGAAGAACTTACTGCTCTGACTCAGAATCATACTTGGGATCTAGTGCCTTGTCCCTCTCACAGAAAACCCATTGGTTGTAAATGGGTCTACAAAATCAAGCACCGTGCTGATGGATCCATCGAACGTTACAAAGCTCGATTAGTAGCTAAAGGCTTTACTAAGCGTGAGGGCTTTGATTATCAAGAGACATTCTCACCAGTAGCAAAACATGTCACTGTTCATACTTTCCTTACAATGGCTTCCATTCATGACTGGTCTCTCCATCAAATGGATATTAATAATGCTTTCCTTCATGGTGATCTTTATGAAGAAATTTGTATGGATTTTCCTCCCGACATTCACAGACAAGGGGAGAATACAGTATGTCGTCTGTGAAAATCCTCTATGGCCTCAAACAAGCATCCCGACAGTGGAATGAGAAATTCAGCAAAGCTCTCATTGGCATAGGATTTGTTCAGTCCAAAAATGACTATGCATTATTCACCTAGCACAAAGATGAAACCTTTATTGCTCTAATCATCTATGTAGATGACATTCTTATTACAAGAAATGATGAAGTAGGCATCAAATCCTTGAAAGAACATCTCAATAGACAATTACAAATAAAAGATGTGGGAGAACCAAAATATTTCCTAGGAATCGAAATTGCACGATCCCCGACAGGAATATCTCTCAGCCAATGGAAGTATGTCTTGGAATTGATTTCTGATTATGGGCTATCAGGATGCAAGCCAAGTATTATTCTAGTAGAACAAAACACCAAACTGACTACTCAGGAAAGACGACAATGAGACATCATCTACTGAAGTTGATCCATCTTTGGAAGACCCCACAAATTATCAAAGACTTGTTGGGCGATTAATCTACCTCACCATGACTTACCCAGACATCAGTTATGCGGTCCACATCCTTAGTCAGTTCATGCATAAGCCTAAACAATCTCACATAGATGCTACGATAAAGGTTCTGAAATACTTAAAAGGATGTCCTGGCTTAGGTCTTCTCCTTCCTCGAGACAAAAGTTTGGATATCACAGCTCATTGTGACTCAGACTAGGCCACATGTCCAATGACAAGAAAATCACTTACATGTTTCTGCATCAAGCTAGTGGGAGCTCTTATTTCTTAGAAAACAAAGAAACAATCAACTGTATCCCTTTCTTCAGCAGAGGCGGAATACAGAGCCATGGCAAAGACAACATGTGAGATCGTCTGGATTCTGGGATTATTAAAGGACCTAGAAGTACAGGTAAGTAAACCGGTTCTTTTATACTGTGACAACAAGGCTGCAAACGACATAGCAGCAAATCTAGTATTTCATGAAAGAACGAAACATATAGAAATTGATTGCCATTTTGTCAGAAAAAAAATACAAGAAGGGGTAATCAAAACTTTACACATTCGTACTTCAGAACAACCAGCAGACATCTTCACAAAGCCATTATGTAGCAGATAGCATTCATATTTACTTAACAAGCTTGGAGTTTTGACATCTACAAACCACAAGCTTGAGGGGGAGTGACGAAATATGGAATGCCTTTGATTGATTTCCCTAAATCTCTACTGGCTAAAATTAAACAGTAATTAGAGTTTCAATCAATCAACTTAATTCAAGTGATTGATTGAAACAATTACAGGGATCTTTTATATTCATTACTTTCCTTTTTTACATTTACAAAGATGTATAAATTGGCCAATTGTACAAGCTTAAAATATATTGATTATACAAATTTATTCTCTCTTTCTCTTTTCTTGGGCATAAGTTGGCAGTGTCATTGTCTTAAACTGCTTCTCTTTGTCCTACTCTTGGTCTCTGTCTCGATTCCTTACACTAATATTTATAATTAAAGGTCAAATTAATAAACGAAGTTAGGTAGAATTCAAATAAAAAAACTAGCTTAAGGAACGAGGGCTCAAGGGAGGAGGTAGTCAACCCTTTCAACCAAATTGGCGATGTACACTCTCCTTCATAGTCAATGTGTAGGGTCCAAACCCATCATTACCCTCATGCATGGTCGGTGTGCTTACTTCCTAAAACTAACTCAAGAGGGAGTTTATATATATGTATATCATAACAATCTACCAAATTGAATGTGAGACAAATACAACTTCTAATAATCTATCAAATTGTCGATGTAAGACAAATACAATTTCTAACGCATATTAATATTAAATTAAAATTGAATAATTTTGATTTGTGGTTGGAGACATTTCATGGTTTCAATGGGAGTTTGATATTGATGTTACAAATTAATTTTTATCGCATAAAGGTTGAAAAATTAACGGGTTTGAGTTTGACGGATATTCATGCAATTTGCGATGATTTATTGCCACCACAATTGGATCTTATCAAGATTTTGTATTCAAATCTGCCAAATCATTCATCCACAATGTAGGAATGCTTAGTATGTAAGAAATCTATATACGAATGCAGGAATAATCAGAATTTTAAAATTGTTTCAGTTGAGAGCGGCCGGCAGCCTTTCATGATGAATTTATTAATCACAGAGATAATTATGTGTTGTACGTCCATCCCAGGATTGCGGATTCACCTCATGCGTAATTCTATTATAGGTTAATTTTATTTACAAGTTTATCATTATAATAGTATATAGTCTGACTTTTCACCCAAATTAGAGGATTTTTTTTTTTTTTTTTTTTTTTTTTGACGTTGCATTCATACCTTGTTCAAGTTGCAATTGTACGCAAAAATACACAAAAAGCAACATAAAAATAGTAGACGTAAGATTTACGTCGAATATTCAAACTATTTTATAAATCTTTTATTGTATGTGTTTTTTATTCATTCATAGATCCCGCATCAAATAACAGATTTCATACAATCCTTTACGTAGGTTTCATTATGGATTTTATATACTTCTCGTTGGTGTAAATTACATCAAATAATATGTAACCAAGTATTAATACAAAACCTACGTAATTAAGTTCTTAACTATACACTGGATTAAATTTTTATTTAACTCTAGGGGCGACTGCATGGGATCCTGCCAGAAGCTTTTAACTAATAAAAAATAGGTTAATGAAATGCATGAAAATAGGCAATTAAATTATTAGAGGAAGATGCTTTTCCTTTGTCTTGTGGAATTCTGGTTAACCAATTTAATCAATTATATACTACTTAATTCCACTTAAAATATTGCATAATTGAACTCTTGAAGGTGAAGATCATTATCAGAGATCGCTCTAATCAAGACTGAAACCCCGATCAAATGGTCATTATCAAGATAATCAGGAATCTTTACAGTTTATCTTGAGATAAAACATCCAAAGTATGAATCAATTACGTGTCAACGTGGAGGTCATGCATGGTTTATCGTTGCATGATTTAATGACAATCTAGGGCACAAATTGACATTCCTTTTGTATCATTCTTTTCAGCCCTTGAACAAGGAAGCTAATGACAACTATCTTAAACAAGAGTCCTGCAAGGTTTTTGATGCAGCTTTCGAGGCATTCTATAGACTGTTCCCGAATGGAATGTTCGCTTATTTCACTGTGAACTCGGCGATTCTTGAGGCCATACCTCATGATGCCGGGGTTCTGCACATTGTTGATTTTGACATGGGAGAGGGCATTCAATGGGCTTCAATGATTGTGGCTCTTGCTCAACAACAGAAGCTGCTACAACAATTCGGTATTATCTCACAACAAATAACCTTAAAACTTACATCAATAAAGTGGAAAAATGGAGATTGTATTTGTGGTCAAGCTCATCCCCATTTGAGATTTGAGGAGACAAAGAAGCAGCTGATTTGTTATGCAAATTGTCATGACTTAAAGTTGAAAGTTGAAGAAATGGAACTACAAGATTTGGTAAGTGAGATAAAGAAAACTACAAGAAGAGGAAGAAGGAGAGAATGTGTAGCCTTCAATTGCATGTGGGCACTTCCCCACATGAGGAGGAGAAGAAGAAGAAGGCATGTTATGGAGTTTCTAAAGGTGGCTAAGGATTTTTTGGCCAACTCTGACAGTAATAAAACTAGTAATGATAAAAACAATGGTATAATTACTTTTGGTGATGGAGATACTTGGGAGAAAATAGAAGATTACTCTTGTTTTGGATCATTCTTTGATAGTTATCAGGAACATTACCGAGCATTGTTAGAATCAATGGAATGGAACTTCCATAAACATCTTGCAGAAGCAAGAATAGCCATGGAGTGTCTCTTTGTGGCACCATTTGCGTCTTCTGTTGCTTTGCTAGAAAAGTGGAAGGAAGTAAAAGAGGTCTACGAATTTGAGGCGGGATTTGGGCTGAAAGGGGTGAGATTAAGCAGTGAGAGCTTAATGGAAGCTAAAGTAATGGCGAGAGAAGGTGAAAGTTTGTACACAATGAGGATTGAAGGTGAAAATGCAAATGAGATGGTGTTGGAATGGGGAAGAACTCCATTAGTAAGAGTTTCTGCATGGAGATAGATCATAGATTGATGTGTTATATTCTGAGTATTGTACAAATTTAATTATACTGTAATAACCAATTGAAATGGACAAGTATGAATATTTTCAATTGCATCGTTTATTGGATTTACATTCTATTTAATAAAAAACAAAGGAATTTATTGTTTTTAACCTACATATGCTCCATATGTTATAAATGTTTGAGTATAGGAATATTAAACCCGAGAACAAAGAAACATAAACCTACTTGAAACCATGGTTTTAAAACGACCGGTCCAACCAGGAATTGGTTTCTAATGCGGTCCACTAAATGGCTAAAACTTGTTTTAGCCGTTGGACCGAGTTGACTCGGGGTTGAATAGATAGGAACAATGTCGAATTGCGGTTTAACACTCTAGTCAAAGATTCGAATTGCATAGGAATGCCCCTTCCAGAATAAGGAATGTTCGTTCATGTGCAATAAACACTCGTTACTAACAAGTGAAATGCCCAATATCAGAACTAGAATTGAAATTTTATTAATTTTTAAAATTTTATTATATCATGCTGATGTCAACATGATGTCATCTGTTTGATCTGCCTAGCAAACTAATTGGACTGGCCCCTTGATCGGGTCAAGGCCCGGTCCGGTTATAAAAAATATTGCATGAAACTTGAAAAGTATGGCTGAGGCTGCTGCAAAGGCCCGTACATTTCAGCCCAATTACGAATAGTCTATTTTGGTCATTTTCATGGCCTAACAAATTAAAGTGGTCCTGGTGGAAAATCTGCAGACATTATTGTGGCAGAAGGCTAACCACTCGATTCTTAGAAATTTTCTCCGTTGACCATGTGGTTCTGCTCAGCTCAATTATACTGGCGCAATATCACAACGTTGAAAATTTTGGCCTAGTTTTTGGGAGGTAAACGTAAAAGGACAAAACAAGAAAAAACCGGTCTTGTATAATTAATAAAATTGTGTTGTATCAAATGGTCTCGCAATTAAGAAGTGGAGTTAATGATGCAAAGGAAATAGTCTCAGCTTAAAGACTTTTAGCTCAAAGACTAATCTATATGCGATGTATTTGTATCAAGCAATGGCGGCTCAAGTTCCTTCCAAACACCGCAATTTAACGACTTATCTCAGTCTCATTTGTGCACCTTATTTTTATTAACTCTCCAAATATATATATATGAATATATTTATATATTGTATATATACCATTCAACCTCCATTTTGGAACGCTGTTTAGACAAAGACAGCTCCAAGTTTTTGTATCTTCCCCCATTTCCTGGTGATGACTTTTCTGTAGCTTGCGCTTGTTAAATTCTTCTCTTATTAATTATATAATCATGGAATATGTAGCTCTTCTGCTTAAGTCTCACTAATATTCATCTCTGAAACACATGGCCTTGACGATCTTTTTATCTTTGCTTCTTTTCTTGTTTCCCGTTTTAGCTCTTTCTTCTGTAGAATTCATCTTTAATGGATTCAATGAAACCCAGCTCAGAAATTCAGGAGGTCTAGACCTGGAGGAGGCTACTGTTTATAAACCCAACGGTGCACTCAGACTCACTAACACATCCCAGAATGTTATAGGCCATGCATTTTATTCCCAACCAATACAACCCAAAAATTCTTCTTTCAGTACACATTTTGTTTTTGCAATTGTTACTCAAACTCTAGGCCAAGGAGGCTATGGTCTTGCCTTCACAATTGCTCCTTCAACAAAGCTTCCAGGGGCTGAGCCTGAACATTACTTGGGGCTTTTCAACCGATCGAATGATGGCAATTCCACAAACCATATATTTGCAGTGGAGTTTGACACGGTTAATGGTCATAATGAGAACACAGACTCTAAAGGAAACCATGTTGGAATCAACATCAATAGCATGCGTTCGGTATATGTAGAGCCAGCCGCTTATTATGACCCAACAAAGGAAGAGATTACCCTGGAGAGTGGTAGTGCTATCCAAGCTTGGATAGAGTATGATGCTGTGACTCAACTTGTGAACGTAACGATATGCCCTATGTGGAGAAAGAAGCCCCCTAAACCTCTCATATCTCATCCCTTAGATAATATTTCAACTGTTTTCACTGAAAACATGTATGTTGGTTTCTCAGCATCCACGGGAGAAAAAAAAAGCTCTCATTACATCTTAGGATGGAGTTTTTCCATGAATGGAGTAGCTACTCCTCTCAATCTTTCACTGCTTCCAGAGCCACCAGCAGTTGAGAAGAGATCATCATCTAGTTTCAAACTCCACTTCAAGATTCTTATTGCTGTGTTATCCGCGGTTCTTGTTCTATTTTTGGGACTATTACTTTGTTTCAAACTATATAGAAGGATAACACAGTTTGAGATTCTTGAAGATTGGGAGTTGGATTGTCCTCACAGGTTCAGATACAGAGATCTTCACATCGCAACAAAGGGTTTCAAAGAGACTGAACTGTTAGGAGTCGGTGGTTTTGGTGCAGTTTATAAAGGTGTGTTACCTTCAACTGGAAGCCAAGTTGCTGTAAAGAAGATTTCACCCAATTCAATCCAAGGAATCAGAGAATTCGCAGCGGAAATCGAATGCCTGGGACGATTGAGGCATAAACATTTGGTCAATCTACGAGGATGGTGCAAGCGAAAGAATGATCTTTTACTAGTCTACGATTACATTCCAAATGGAAGCCTTGACTTTCTCCTCTTCGATTCCAAAAACAATATTGTATTGAGCTGGGAACACAGAGTCAACATCATCAAAGGCGTAGCCTCCGGGCTATTATACTTACACGAAGAATGGGAACAAGTAGTAATCCACCGGGACGTGAAGTCCAGCAATGTGCTAATCGATGTTGACATGAACGCAAGGTTAGGAGACTTCGGCCTCGCCAGGCTTTACGATCACGGTCAACTGTCGCACACAACAAATGTTGTTGGCACCGTCGGCTACATTGCGCTCGAACTAGCTCGAACCGGCAAGGCCTCAACAAGAACAGATGTTTATGCATATGGGGTTTTACTTCTCGAAGTTGCTACAGGAAAAAGGCCACTTGAATCAGATAATTTCATACTGGTAGATTGGGTACTGGAGTTTCAACAATTAGGTCAAATTCTTGATGTCGTTGATCCAAAGTTGGGTTCAGATTACGCAGTTGAAGAGATGGAGTTGATGTTGGGACTGGGGCTACTTTGCTGCCATCACATTCCTGAAGCTAGGCCTACAATGAGACAAGTTTTGCGGTATCTAAACGGCGATGACTTGCTTCCTTTAATTAACTGGAGTTCTGTTAATTCTCAACGTTCTGAAATGAGCTCAGGATTCCTGGAAATTAACTCTAAAGATTATTCACATATTTCATCCTCCATGGGTGTCATCTCTGCAACTTCTTTAGATGCAGCTGGCAGATGAAGTGCCATCAAATGATCATCATACTGTTTTTTCTTTTTTCTTTTACATTTTCTTTGTGAATTGAATTCATAGTTACATTTTTGCGTACATATAATTGACTCTAATCTAGTTCATAATTGCATTCGTTTAGTGGGTTAATTCTTGTTTAATGAATTAGATAAATGTGATGCGGTGCTTACTATACCGGTCAATTATTGAATTTATGGTCCGTTTGGTTTATTATTCTGATACTTTTTAGAATAATATTTTGAAAAAAGTTAAATTAGGTGGATGTAGGATTTAAAAATTAACAAAAATATCTCTTATGCTTGTTTATTTAATAAACACCCCTATAATAAAATATTAAAAGTTAACAAAAACACTCCCAACCCACCTATTAAGTATGGATAGCCGACTATCACCGCTGGAGGGTCGCTGGGGTGTTTTTGTAATTTCTAAAAAAATATTTAGGGGTGTTTAATTAAATTAACAAATTTAAGAGGGTTTAAAAGAAATTGAATCATATAAAATATTATTTTGAGAATAAATCAATTTTACTGTTTAGCTTTATTGGGAATACTAATAATAGTATTCTCAAGAGTGTAACAAACGGAGCCTTAATTATTTCAAGTTGTTGATGTATGTTGAATCCACACGGTTTTATCCTAAAAAGTAGCCTCTAAGTTGGACATATAGTAGATGGGTTCTCATACTATTGTTTGATTTGGACTCTGGGTACCTCTGGACCTTGGTGCTTGCACAATTTTATCCTGAAAAAGTGTCAAGTGTCCTTGTACTATATCACCGAAGAAGACTCTCATCTCCTAACCGATATGAGACTTTAGCATCAACACAACTAATTATAATTTATAGATAATGATCTAAATGCATTCCAGATTTTTTCAAAGTCTTTTTGATTAATGAAAAATTTATTAATCAAATTGGAATATGATCTTAATATGCATATATTAACGATTTATTTATTCGAATTTATGAGACTGAAATTGCAGCATTGACTTTGAGAGATAAATAACTCACAAATATTAATTGTATGATTAGGCTTTATTTAATTGAATTAATTGGTAATTAAATTCAAACTTGGATGATGTGGTTAATCATTAATCTAATTATAATTATTAATTAAACAATTTAAATGGATTATAATCTTGCGAAGCAATAGATAATTTCAGTTAATTATTTAACGACCAAAGCCTAGATGATTGGTTATTAAGTATTAAGGTGTAGGGGAGTTGACTTGTCAAAGTCAACTCATAACTGAAGTGCCATCCAATTGAAGCCGTCACATTGAGACTTTAATATTTTTCAATGTTTTTAGCTTACTTTTATTCAAAAAGTAACAAACGATTATGATTATCTATCAAACATAATTATAATAGAACTGTTTGATTTTGAACAACGAAGAAAGGAGGAAGTTGCATAATGGGGGCTCTGGTTCCTTAAACAGTAAATAAATAACATCAATAATCTTGATAATATTATCTAAAGGAAAATGTTATATCTACGATATCTTCTCATAATTTCGACGTAACTGTTCGTAATTAATCAGTTTATAATAAGCTCATTGCTCTATCAAAAAATTCTCATCTTCTCTTACATAAACTTAAAATTTTATTTTGTTATGTAAAAACTTTTAATAAGATGAACGTGAATATATATATTCAATCATGATACGCGTGTATATATATAGCCTAAGTTCGAGTTCATACAAGACCCAATATCTCATTCGAGAAGCTCAACCCAGACTTAATCTAAAGCATCAAGTATATGTCAAAAAATCATTCTAGAAGCGTTCAGAATAATCTTCATAAAAAAAAGGCAACATAATTGGATACTATTCTAAAGTATAATATTCAAATTTAGAGTAATACAATAGATTTTTTTTTTTCTATCCATCTGTACAAGACAAATCATAAATCATCTTTAAAGTTAAATGATGAATGACTTTTTAACTTCCAATTATATTGGAAGCTTTCATGTTTGATTGGTTTAATTCCAATTATGTTGGAAGCTTTCATGTTTGATTGGTTTGGAAGTGAGTTTGTTTCTTGTTTACTTGATCAACGTACTTGGTTTCTTCACTGTTAGTAAATCAAAACTTTAATCCTCTTGGAAGATTGTATTTCTTTCACTGTTATTTTTCTGAAACTTGAAAGCTCTGCAAAAGTGGTCCTTAAGTAATGAAGTTACAGTCCTCCTTCATGGACTTTAAACGAAGTCAATTTGTTCCCACCTCTATGATAAATATGAGATCTGTCTTCTTTACACGGCAACTCGAAGAACACTCTCCACCGCATGTTCACAAGACTTGGACATTTAAATTTTATCACTTTCCTCAACTGCATTATTCGGTAGCTAGCCATACTAGAAAGGAACAAATATTTCCTCCCTGCTTAACTTTGACTTCTTCAACTCTTTTCATCTTCTTTCTCATGAATCAACTGCTTATATAATCATCCTTCTTTGTTTATACTTTATACCCTTTCCCTCTTTTTATTCTTTAATTCGTTTTGTATACTTGGCTGTTCCAAGTTAAATCAATTTTTTTTCAGTCAACTCTCTGAATTCAATGGCGATGGGAGTTGCGGTTTTTTTTTTTTTTGTTTTTTCTTTTTCTTACTCTTCCCGATTCTTGCTAAATCTCAAACTCAACCTACCAGTTTCATTTTCCAAAATTTTACACAAGGTGAAACTAATCTTAGCCTTGACAGAGATGCAAGTATTATCAGGCCTTCTGGTTTACTCAGACTCACTAAGAGATCAAATAATGTTATAGGCCACGCATTCTATGTCAACCCAATACAAATGTTTGAGAAAAATTCTTCTTCTTCAGCTCAAAATGCTTATTCTTTCAGCACAACTTTTGTGTTTGAAATAGTTTCCCCAAGTTCAGGCCACGGCGGCTACGGACTTGCCTTCTTGTTGGCTCCCTCTAAGCAACTTCCGGGAGCAGATTCCGGACATTACCTAGGAATTTTGAACTCAAAGCATGATGGTAATGCGTCAAACCATGTTATTTTTGTTGAGTTTGACACGGTTAATGGGTTTAATGGTGAGTGTGACGACTATGGAAACCATGTTGGAGTCGGCATCAATAGCATGAATACAAGCAGGTCAAAACCAGCTGCCTATTATCGAGGTGACACGGATGATCAAGAAGAAGTGAACTTGGGCAATGGGCCTATCCAAGCTTGGATAGAATATGATGGGGAAGAAAAGGTTTTGAATGTAACTATATGTTATGCAGGGAATCCAAAGCCTGTGAAGCCTCTCATAAATTACCGGGGTATTAACCTGACAGACCATATCAAAGAAACTATGTATGTGGGATTCTCTGCGTCTACAGGAGAGAGATCAAGCTCTCATTACATCTCAGGATGGAGTTTTTCATTAAACGGAAAGCCAGAAGCCTTAATGTTTCAGCACTTGCAAGAGCACCAAAGGAGAAAGAATCAACCCCGTATAACCCAAAAATTATTGCTCTTATTTCTTCTTTATGCGTTGTGACTGTTTTGTTGTTGGGGATATTGGTTTTCTTTTTGTTCTATAGAAGGTCTTCAACGTCTGAGATTCTTGAAGATTGGGAAATAGATTGTACTCACAGGTTCAGATACAAGGATCTTTATGAAGCAACGATGGGTTTTAGAGAGAGTGAAGTGATTGGAGTTGGCGGATTTGGTGCAGTTTACAGAGGTGTGTTACCAACTAATGGAAGTGAAGTGGCTGTCAAGAAGATTACTCGTAATTCACTTCAAGGAATGAGGGAATTTGCAGCTGAAATCGAAAGCTTGGGACGTTTAAGGCACAAGAATTTGGTTAATCTCTACGGTTGGTGCAAGCAAAAGAATGATCTCCTTCTAGTTTACGAGTACATTCCAAACGGAAGCCCTGATACACTTCTCTTTAAACCCAAGAACGGCTTTGTGTTGAAATGGGAACAAAGATTCAACATAGTTAAAGGCGTTGCAGCAGGGCTGTTATATCTACACGAAGAATGGGAACAAGTGGTGATTCATCGCGATGTGAAGGCTAGCAATGTGCTAATCGATGCGGAAATGAATGCTCGGTTAGGGGACTTCGGTCTTGCCAGGCTATATGATCATGGAGGAATGTCGCACACCACAAATGTTGTGGGCACAATTGGGTACATTGCGCCTGAATTGACTCGCACAGGTAAGGCCTCAGCGAGTTCTGATGTGTACGCATATGGGATTTTACTTCTTGAAGTAGCTACTGGACAAAGGCCTATTGGTTCAGGCACGTTCCTCTTGATGGAATGGGTGAACGAATGCCAACAGCTTGGTAGAATTCTTGATGCTGTGGATCCATTGTTGAAATCAGATTACGCTGTTGAAGAGATGGAACTTGTTCTGAAATTGGGGCTTATTTGCTCTCATCAGAAACAAGAATTGGGGCCTACCATGAGACAAGTTATGCGGTATCTATGCGGGGATGAGCTACTTCCTTCCGACTATGATTGGAGCTCCATTTATTCTCAACAAGGATATGAATTAAGCTCCAGATTTTTGGAAGTGGTTTCTTCTGATACGTTCAAAGCGTCGCATGCTTCATCTTCCGATGTCGGCTTCTCTTCTAGTTCAATGGAAAATGGTAGATAGTAGTCGGTCCGTCTCAAAACTTTTTTCCTTTTTCCACTTTGTTGTTAGGACTTAGGAAGTCGATGAATACTCTTCCAAGTAGAATCTGTATACTGATAGACACTGGATATTCACATTGTTTTAAGAGATAATTACAGTTTATAACTATTTGTCCATTAAGAAAGTTACATTCAACGTCACAATCTTCAACTTGATGATCAAAAGGTGAACCTATGATGTTGTAGAATGGCCAAGTGGGCTGAACAAGTTGTGGTTGCATCATGGTTTGGTCTTTAATCTGATTGAATGACATGACTTGTCCTGACCTTCCTCATCCTATACGATCCGGGCTCTCCCACATGACTCGGATGACTGAGACGTGCCATGTGGGAAAAACTATGAAAC